ATCATAAAACGAGCATCTTTGGATACTGGGAATCAGAGAAAGGAAAAAGACAATTGTACGATTTGGCTTACATTGCTCTATCGGTTCCGTCCACGCAAAACAGTCTGAAACGGAGTTACTCTGCAATCGATTTCATATTCTCGAATTTAAACTCGCCTCTTCAAGATGAAAATATTTTAGAAAATGTAATGATTATAAGAGGGTATACAAAATAAAGACTTATTGGAATATTTGTAGTGTTTCAATGTCACTTATTTGTTAGATATTCTAGTAATAATAATACAATGAATAAGGCAATTCAATTGAAATAACATTATGAAATTAAAATTTAACTGGATAATGTATTGATATAAAAAAAACTTATTACGAAGATAATTACTTATTTATTTTGGAATATACAGAATGTCACCATTATAGCAATGCACGATAAGCCACGATTCAAAAGCAATGGAAAATGCAATCAGCTGAAAACCCTTAAGGAACTATTTGCATAACCTCGCATCTTTGCGATTGTATTTTCCATTGCTTTTGAATCGTGGATTATCTATCAATCGTAACCGCTTTAGTCTGGAGAGTTTTCCACGGTTTGGAAACCAGTATTCTTTTGTGTCCAGCCATTATTATTGTTAATACAGTGTATTAACGAACTAGAAACATCCACGGTGTCTCTTAGTGGCTTTATTGTATCAGCATAAAGTAACCTTCACCATGACCCCCCATTACATACACTTTAATATAAACAAAGGGAACCAAGCATAAACAATCCCATCGATATTCTTATACTTTTTTGAGTACTCTGAATTCAAGTCCTTTTATAACCACATAATAATCTTTCTACGTAGAATCGTAATCAATCATCTTTTTCGTATAAAGAAATTCAAATGATTTTGACCCTGGCCATAATAAACAAAACCACCCAGGCCGAATCTCGTGGAAACGTTTAATCATCAATATATACAAAGCAATAAGGGGTGGCTATTATTAAGTAGAATAAGTATTTAGAATTAGTCTCAAGAAAGGTTTTTAAGATGAAAATAGTCTCATAAGAACCTCAAACCAAGAACCAAAGTATCGAATAAAGTTATGTAAAACCAAACGAATTTCATTAAATTCCCAACAACAGATTCCACAACGACAACACCAAAGTATCCACTGTATCCAGAATTTCATCCCTTGGACTCAACAATACTTTTTTTTTCTTCCTCCTGCTACCTCCCTCTCAACAATACTTCTGACAAGGTATTTGTCTCTAATTTCTTTGTATAAATATTCATTTTTTTTATTAACTCATTTCATAAGTATCTGAGAAAAATAAAATAAAAATCAATCAGAAAGACTGAGCCCTTTATATCAAATAGATCCAATACAAAATTGCAAATAAATAAAATTACATTAACATTTTTTGTATTTATATAAATAACTATGAGTGCGGAAGGACTGCAGTCAATAGTCAATTGTGTGGTATAGGTGAATGTATACATGTATTAAGATTAATAATCACAATGTATTGATTATTAATCTTAATAAACTTTAAAACAAATGAAAACGATAATGGTTTAATTTTCGCAAGTTTCGTTGAAATTTTTTAGCATCTGGTTCATTTCCCTCTTCAATCTTCGCATTATGCAAAGAATATCTTCTTAAAAATTCCATTGACCAACCGTTACGTGCAGTAAAATCGTATTTTTTTGTTTAACTGCTCTGATGCAGTTGATTCATTTTCATTAAGTTGTTTATAAATTGTTAATGCTTTCTGCTTATGGAAATTCCGTTTGCTGTTATTCTTTTTACAGAGCAATCTTCAAGCTATAGTATCAGTTCATTTTCCATTTTAACTTTGATAATATGTCTTGAGTACAATGTTCATTTAGCGGTTAATTTAGTTCCAGTAACCAGTAATCACGGATTTTCTGGTGACTGGACTGGACCAAACAGAACATGACATATCAGGACAGGACAAAACAGAACGTGATACAAGAGAACATGACAAAAAAAACAGAAAAAATATTGATTAATATACCACTAAATAAATGATAAAGCATAAATATATAATTAATCAGCAGATGTATTATAAAATAAATTTATAATTAATTATATATTTAAGTATTATCATTTATTTATTGATATTTTCATGGATGGTAAAGAATAGTACTAAAGGTGAACACATTCATCTCTTCTAGTACTATTCTGTATTGTCCTGTTCTCTTGTATTCATATTCTATCCTGGTGTGTTCTGTTTGATCATGGAACCAAAAACACAATGTAACTTAAAAATCTGCGATTCGCACTGTATATATGTATATATTCAAGATACTAGTGGCTTAGGTCATGCGCCACCGTAGATGCACGAAGTAATATACGGAGAAACCGAGCCTTCACAAAACCATAATCCGTGAAAATTTACCGAAATCTACGTACGTTTATTCCAATTCCCGTGTGATGACCAAACAAATAACAATTTCGTTATTTGAGTGTGAACATAATTAATTATATTTTAAGTTAAATATTATCGATTACCAATATAGTACTGGTAGTGATGTGAATACAAAACAAATCTTCCATATTTGAAGTTATGTACTTTCTATTCTCAAACTTTATTTACCTTTCTACAATAACATTTATTTAGAATTTAGTTTAAACAAATATTCATTTTTTATATTAATTTTTTAGATGGGTCGGTCTAAATCAAATCCAGTGTCAAAATACTTCACATACATTGATAGAACTGATCTATCTCAATGTGAAGTACCTGGCTGCAATATGATGCTCAAAGGCAAGCATTCAGCCAATTTGGAACGGCACCTCCAAAGAAGACATCCTGAAGATTTTCATCATTTGCAATTGATGAAATTGGAACCGAAGAGGAAAATCAGTGAAACAAGGTTTACCAGCATAAAAGTACCAGTCAAGCAGACTAAATTGGAGGATGTTAAACTAACCATAGCAGTGTCAATAGCTCAACAAACTTTGGTCGATGCATGCATTGAACTTGTGACAATCAACAGTAGACCTCTCAATTTGATTAATGATAGTGGATTCAGAAAGATTGTTGATCCCATCATTTGCGGTCTTGGTGGACAATTGAATATAAATGATGAAAGTATACAACATTTGATTGCAACCAAGGCTGAGACTATTAGAGATTCAATAATGAAAGAGTTGAAGGGAAAGTTATTATCCATTAAAATTGATTGCGTTCAGAAGATGGGAAGGCATATTATTGGAATTTATGTGCAATATATCAAGAATACTAGAATGGTTTTGCAAACTTTGGCTATTATTGAGTTGGACAATGACAATACATCAAAGTATTTGGAAAAAATGTTGCTAAAAACCCTGGAAAGATATGAAATCTGCATTGATCAGTTGTATTCTGTGACTATGAGTGATGGTTCTTTATTGAATAAAGATGTCCCTTTGGTGTCTGAATATATTACAGATGCTGAAAGTGTAGACATATCTGGAATTAAAGTTAGTCAACCATATTCAATGCCCAATAATAATGAACTCTTTAACGACTCGAATATAAAGAAAGAACATGACGCGGGTAACATTAAAATGAATGCGGAGAAAATTGCAGAAGAGACTGAATTTTATCTGGGAGAATTCGAGGAAAGAGTAACAGTTGTAAGATGCCCAGGCCTTACGTTGGAGAATGCAGTGAATGAAGCTCTACAATCGGAAATAGAGTTTATAACAAAAACTCAAGAAGTTTACAAGAAGTTGTTGAAAAAATCTATCACAGATAACCAAACACTGTGGGGTTCAACATATGAAGTAATGCAACAATTATTGGAGTTAAAAGACTTTTGCAATGGCATGGCTCTCTGGAAGAGCGAGTTTCATCTATCTGAAACTGACTGGGAGCATATAAGTAGCATCGTCGAATCTCTAATACCCGTGAAAGAGGCGTTTGCCAAATTGGAAAACGATCAACTCGTGATGGGCGATTTTTATGGAATCTGGTGGAATTGTTATACTGCGACTAGAAAACTCGAAACTAGTATGGCTCGATCGCTTTGCGAGGCAATGCAGAAACGAGAGGGTAAGCTGTTCGAGAGCAACGTCTCGAGGGCGGCGATTTTCTTGGATCCGCGATACCAATGCGTTTTATCCACGAAATGCAAAGAGGCTGCGAAAATACATTTGCTCAACATGTGGGATTCGTATAAATCCATGATGCAGCAGGATCCGCTCGAATCGCATTCAACCAGCGAAAGCAATAACGAAGATGATTCCGATGATCTCGAAATGATGCTTAAATCTCGTAAAGGCCAGAATCAAGATTCGTCTTTCGAGACTGATATGTTGTACGTTTTGAATGCGTATGATCATGTGGCACACGTCCATCATAAAACGAGCATCTTTGGATACTGGGAATCAGAGAAAGGAAAAAGACAATTGTACGATTTGGCTTACATTGCTCTATCGGTGCCGTCCACGCAAAACAGTCTGAAACGGAGTTACTCTGCAATCGACTTCATATTCTCGAATTTAAACTCGACGGTTCAGGATGAACATATTTTAGATAATGTTATGATTATAAGAGGGTATACAAAATAAAGACTTATTGCAATATTTGTTGTTTCAATGTTAGATATTCAAGTAATACGATGAACAAATTGAAATCACATTATGAAATTAAAATTATAATAAACTACATATTCCAAAGATAATTAATTAGACATGTATTTAATTGTTACCATAGCAATGTCTCGTTTAAGAAATGAAAATATTGTATTGTATTTAGACCAGCGGTTTCCAACCTTTATGTTACTACGCCTCCCCAAAAAATTTTTTTCGCGCCTCCCTTACCTTTATTGTTTTAATAGATTAAATAATATAGACACTTTTTATTTATTACAAGATATTATGGTATAAAAATTAATTTATTAAAAAAATTTGGCGCTTCCCCTGGCAATAGTCCGCGCCTCCCCGGTTGGAAACCGCTGATTTAATCGGTAGATAGGTTCCTGAGAAAAACGTGTAAAACTGAAAAGGAGTAAAAAACGTATAAAACGACTGAAATGAATTAAACTAATAATCTTAGTTAATAAAAAAAATCATTACATTTCTATAATCAAATTATAAGAAAATAATTGAATCATTCTTCTCGTTTCATTCAGTTTAATTAATGAAAATAATTGGTTTTTAATTTCTTAGAATATAAATTATATAGTGATTTTAAATTATTGTTTAAAATAATTGTATTGATGAAAACAAATGTTTCAGAAAAAAAATCGAATTCTCTTGCATACCACTTTTGTTTGGCTGATAGGGCAAATCAACTGTCCGCATTTTGTCAATTTATACATACATTATGATTCCATTTTGTTTGTTTTTAACATACCCTTCAATCCTAATGGTCTGTCTTATAGATAGGACTTCCATTACGAGTAAACGGTTAACCAGCATATATGATTACCTAAATTACCGCTAAATTTTGAAAAATAATACCGGTAATTTGTAAAAATGATACTTTCTTCTACAGGTGTAATATGTAATAAATTTCAAATAACTTTGGGTGATAATAAGATTCAAATTGTCTAATGCGTGCACATTTTAATTCTCAGAAAGAAACTAAAGTTTGGTCTATAACATTAAGAATTGCACATGCTCTAAAAATATTGCTACTAATAGTAGTATATCACAAGAAACCTTTTATTTAAAAAATTACCAGTTATTCAGTTTTTACTTAAAATATTTACCATTTACATGTAAAAGCAAATTTCGGTAATAGTAATAGACTTGTATAAAATTGAGAGCGTCCGTAAAAATAATTCTGCTTATTAACAATGGTAGGATGAGAGAAAAGTGTGAAAATTGAAGTGAGATGTGTTTTATTCTCTATATTTCTGTTTAAAACTGAAATCTAACGATTGCTCATGTTATAAATCCTAAAGTATGTGATGATTCAAACCTATTGTCATATTATTAATTGGTAGGTAAATTTATTTCTCTACACGTACGTCGATATACTTATTTATTGGATATTTTAAAAATATTAGAATTAAATAAAAAAATCAAGCCTTACATGTAATTCAAATTAAATTTAAATTTGAAATTGCATAAATGTATAATATTTTAATCTAAAAAATACAAATATAACGAAATTATATATGTAAAAAGTTAATTAAAAGTCATAATCACATCACATAATTGGGTGCTGAAATATCCTCATTTAAAGATCTTGTTAATTAAGAATTACACTTCTGCTATCTAGTCTTTAGTACTCCAATTATAATAGGAAGATTATTGATTAATCCTTGGTATTAACGACTTTTGTAGAAATTGTGTCCATTTTCATTAAGTGCCTAAGATGCCTAAACATATCAGAATTGTTAAAAACAATAGACCTGTGGACATAATCTTAAAGATCATACATGAGCGTTTTATTTTTGAAACTTTATTACGATGTATGAGTTTCGCACAATTTAACTAACCCACAAAAATTGTTGAAGTTAGACTAGTTCCAATTTCCACTTATTCGGTTTTTTTTTCAAAATTTCATTATATAAAAGTTTTGATTTTTTATTTTGGTGAAAAAACAAAAATCCATGGTAATACATCACAAATATTGTATTACTTATGGAATAATGGTAGTCTCTATTACTTAAAATTTCTTGAATTATTAATAAAAGTTGTTAAATTCTACATGTTTTATAGATTATATTTACACTTTAATAAATATTATTGTATTATTATTATTATTATTATTGAATCTATTAATAAGCCAGCAGCTTTTATAAATATTTTCGTTTCATGAACTTTTAAGAAAGTTATGAGTTCTACGTGTACAGTAATCACTCTATTTATGTGAGTAATTAGTTCCACGAAAAGAGCGCACAAATGGTGCCATGGAAAGCCTGTTTCAAATAAGGATCTGCTGCATATTCTCAAATGTTTTACTCTTAGCTAATGCAAAGCAATACAAAAATAACACTTTTTGCTATAACTTCAGAAACATTACGTAATACAATGTTTATATCTTTACTGTTATTTATTGAAAATCACAAATTTTATTCAATATTATTACTTAATAAATGTTATGCTTCTTCTTCATTCTCTCTAGTTATAATATAAACTTAATTTCGACGATGTGACAAAATTTCTCATTTTGTTATTTATCAATTTATTTTTAAATAGTTAAAATTTGTTAATACATTTATTATTTTACCAACTGAATAAGTTTTTCAATCTTCTTAGAATATTTTCTTCTTTTGACCTTATGAATTTATATTTATAAAATAAATGATTTTAGTTTATAAATATTGCTTGGGAATTTGTTAGGAATTCCCAATACCACTTTGTGCTACGTTTTTAGAAAAAAAGTATTTAAAGTTCAAAAATGAATTTAATGTATTCTTCTTCTTGTAATTGAATTTTATTTTATTTTTATTGAAATAATAATGTTTATTGCATCAGTCGTACAAAAAAACATACATAAATAAAAAGAACAAAATAAATATATATAATTTCAAAAAAGTTAACTGGTACAAAAGACTATTGACAATTTTTATTGTTGTACTGAGTTTTTTATTTTGTAATTTATTGTTGCAATAAATATTATTAAAAAAAGTATTACTTTGCTTTATAACTTTACAAATTTAATTTAGAGAGACAAATCATATCATATAAAACAAATCTACTACTAAAACACTAACAGATTTAATTAAATTTAACAATAGTTGATTTTTTAGGTAAAATCATATAGATAAATACTGTTGAGTTTTCCATCTACAAGACAATAAAATCGCCAAAAAATGTGCTTAATATCCTTTTAGAAACAGATTGTAAATAAACATAGATATTACAATAAAGTAATTTGAGAATTTCGAAATATGTTTCATATTTGATAGTAAATTAAAGCGAATAAGTTAGTGTCAAATCGTATATAATGCCGGCATTCTGAATATTATATTATGCATAGGTATTCCATATAATGCGTCCTTTACATTAAGGTCGAAATGAAGTGTGGAAGTTGTCTCTCAGCCATTGTTGGTTTGTGTGATGGTGCAGAATCTCTTGAAACCTACACTCTTTCTGACTGAATTGTTTGGTTGTCCAGGGCTTCAGAACACCTTCCAAAACTTTTTCGTGGTATACATCCGCATTAACCGTCACGGTCGAAAAACACCAACGGAGAGCGACCATCGACCGTCACAGCCTCCCAAACTACCACAAACGATGGTGCTTGACTTCTTGTGTCCATTCGAATGTCTAAATTTTCGTTTGACCTCTGTTCTAAGTAAATTCGATCATTTTGTTTGTTTACGAATTTCTCAATTGAAATTTTTTCTCATCAGACAGGACGATATTTCGCAATTGACCGCTCGTTTAAGCGCAACAGCTCCTTTGCTCTATCGAGCCTAGTTTTTTTTTAACGTCAGTGAGATCTTGTCCTTTTTGATACAAATTCCAATGCTGCGTGGCGGATTTCATTCAATTCGAGCCTTAACTTTCCGATTCACTTCTGCCATAGTTGTAGTTTTTTTTTTCGTCCACCAATATAGCATTTTGTAAGACTACTAGTTTCTATATAATGTGTTATAATTCGAGACACGAAATATTTATTGAGTTTAGTAAAAACAACCTTATCGACTCAATTTGACTAGAACAGAAACGTACGTTTAATAAACGCTGATTATATTTTGAAAATTATTAACACTGTATCAGTATTATTATATATATTAATCTCTTTTTACACGTTCTTATTTTTTATATCTATTTTTTTGACGATTTTACAGGAATATATAATTACCGAAATTATAGGTCAATTAAAATTGATGTTGCATATAAAGATGTTTTATAACTAAAATCCAACGAGTGGAAAAAATTATTTCGACAATCCCCAAGACTTCGGATGTTATCGATATTTTTCATAATTCGAAAAAAAAAACGGTTTCATTAACAAGATTGCAAATATTTGTACGTTGGTTCAATAAAGGTGTCGTAAATAATTCGTTAAATTTAAACGTTTGTTTAAATGAGTTCTCATTTTATTTTGATCATTATTAACATTGTATCAGTATTATTATATCCGGAATAGTTTATACTGCACTTGCATTTCTTTTTACACGTTTTCATTTATTTCGACAATAAGGAAATCATTTTAACAGAAATATAATACACGATATGCACTGTGCATAAGGACATGAAACGTAAATTAATTTTGGTAAAAGTGCATTAAATAACTATATTCGTTTTGACCCTTCATCAGTTAAGTGAGTTCTCAGTAAAAACTTCTCAGTGTATTTTGATCAATATAATAAGTACATTTTTTTAATATTTGATTGTTACCAGTTTTATCGCCAGGAACTTATCTAACATTTTTAATCTTCCACTGAAAAACCAACATCTTCTGCATTCAATAAATTTCTAACATCGACATTTTTCAAACATGGAAATAAAGATATCCTAATTTCATGTATGTTATTATCTTCTTGCTGTTGAACTTCTGGCTATATTTATATATGAAATTGTGGACTCTTTTTTATATCGAAGCTTCGTTAACCGAGGTATGCTGTAGTTCAAATGCCTAAAGAAATTTAAACTCGTTAGACACAATATCGAATAGTTTTTATTAGGGATTTGTAACATTTTTGGAGCAACGGGACATTGTTAAGATATTATTTGAAAAAAGTTTATTTCTCATCAAAGATCCTCATCTTTAGCCGCATGTGAACATTGCCTATGCATCGTATACACAGTGGAACCTCGCTTAACGAGCACTTCCATTAACGAGTATTTCGTTTAACGATTGTGAAAAATTGTTTCACTTAACGAGTGTTTCGCGTTACTAGTAAGAGTCTGAAACGGATTGTTAAGCGAGGTTCAACTGGTAAGATATAATTTTACAATATATTTCTAACATACCTTCATTTAGCTTGTCCACTGTACAATTTTTGCAGCCTTTTTACAAATATTTCGAAGGATTTATGGAGGAAAACAGAAAATGCTAAAATTTATAAAACAGACTCTACTATTCGTTCTTCTGTGATTTTTTGATTAAATTTTAATTTAGAACTACTTCTTTCATCACTTGCAACAGGATTTGTTAGTAATATATGTAATGCGGACAAATGTTACATTTTATTGTAGTTACAAACATTTTTTTTTGTCGAATTCGATTCCTTCTGACAATCTTATATATAAGTCCTTGCAATGCTTTAATATTTCTTCAAATGTCCAACTAGTAATTGCATTAATATTATATAGAAAATTAAACTATTTGGTTGACTTTCAAATAAATTTTCCAAAATGCATATTATATTATTTACTGTTGCAATGAAACATTGGCATATCTTTTCAAAAACTATTAATTTCCATTGTAATCTGCAGTTTCTGTAAAGTGCCGCTCTCAGCCGGTGTCTTTGCGTTCGCGACGGATTTGAAAAAAAGACGTTTGAGTCGGAAATCTAGTTACGAATCTTGAAGTTCAATCTTCTTTTGGAATTGAATTCAAATATCACGCGATGTTGGTTATCTATTTGTGTCGAGCGATTCCCGAGTCCATGCAGCCGATAGTTATGCAGACTTCCGCCGTGCAGACAGACACCTACGCGCGACTCATCCCACCATCCTCTTGGAGTCTTGGGTTGCCTACCAAAGGTTGTTTACTTGTTGCCCAGCGTTTTGAAGACTGTGATCAGTGAATGCCATGCGCGCTTGTGCATCGACTGCAATGACAGGATCAGTTGAGAAAATGGCTGTGCGCGGTTAGGACGCGCCGCTGTCGCGTACTCTCCACTCGTGCTGCAGTTACTGAAGAGAACCGGAGAGGTGAAGAGTGTTGTTGTTTCTCGTTTGCTGCAATAGCTCCAAAGTTTTCGGGCTCAAAAATAAATAAAACATACGAAGATTTATCAACAGTGCGCGCCCTCCCCAAGGGAGAATAATACACACGATGACGAGAGCATCGTTTCTGTGCTTTTTGGTTTTTGTGCTCTGCCAAATAACGGAATTTAGTGTAGCCTTAAAAGAAGAAGGTAACAGAATTTTCTTTGTTTCAATAATAACGTAGGATTCTTTTGCGTGTACATCTTAACAGTTTCTTAGCGATATAGTTAAGTTTAGGTAAACGAAACAGAGAACTCTATGGTTTTCATATGTCAGTTATTCTCTTCCTTCTTCTCTTTTCATCTTTCTTGGGAGCAAGCAATGTCATCGCAGACGTGTAAATATTGCCGTGGACAATATTTAACTTTTAACCACATAAAATACTTTGTTTCTTTTCGAAATTGTTGTTTTCGTTTATATCTGATTTATTCATTTATATTTTTTCTGCGGCAATTAATTACCTGTGGCTGGACAACCACACAACGGCCATTGTCCCACCTCTTGTATACAATTAACGTTACCTAGGCAACAAACGTTCTACTCGTATGTTGTGAGTCATCTGGTCGAACCTAGACACTCATCAAATTGACTCAATCAATTTTAATAACTGCCCCATTACTCACAGAAACGTTAATAATTCATACCTGCATTTCTCTACGAAATCCTTATAATGCAAACAATGAATAACGTTGTTTACACTTATTGTACCAATCGGAATGTCACCGCTTCATAACTCATTAAATATACAACAAATTTGCAATCTAGTAAACACAGTTAAGAATATAAAGACTTTGATTCTTCATATCAATACGAAGCATATTGCAACCATACATATGTTTCTTTTTATTCTTACATTCTTTTTAAATAACTATATTTGTAATTTTATAGTCTGCACTAAATTTCCTTAATGCTTTACTAATTTTTTTTTAGAAATTATAAAAGATACAAATTTGTTTTTAAATGTTTAAATAAATTTAAAAAAAATCATATAATTTATTATTAAAAAATGTATCTAAAATTGTAAATTGACTTGTTTTTTCCTTTATATGAATACATACTTTTTTTTTTAAATAGTTTCTCCATTTCCAATTAAGTCGATGCACTTTACAGACGAACATTCGTAACAGCTATTTTTCGAAGCTACTTTTTTTATAATGATTTCGATTCGGAACGTTCCGTTTCTTTTGATATACTCGCTTTTAGAACTCCAATGTTTTTGCGCTGTACGTGAATTGAAAACTCTTAAGGTTTCAATTCTAGAAATTGAAGTGTAATTTATTAAAAACATTGATAAACTGCTCTTGGTATAATATTTTGCGCCGTGGCCAATATCTTGGGACCTGTGCCATTCATCTACTAAATTTATTCTTTGTGTAACTTCAACTAAAGACGTTATAAACACCAAACTTATGGGAATAGTTTACATGTATATATTTTAATTAAACTAAATATTTGAAATTCTAAAAATTTATGACATATATAATTAATATATTTATGAATTTTATATGAATACAATTGATTTTTTATATACACAAATTATCAAAGTATTTCTTAGTGACACGTGTTTATTTGATATTTTTATTGAATATTTATCTAACGTTTCCAATTTAAAACCAAATCAATTAATTGATATTTTTTGTAAGGAAAACGTAATTCAAGTTATTATCTTTCACACTGTGTATACGATAAACATGAACTGTGTTTGTTCATATTCTACATTCACTAATTTCTATTACGTAAATGCATTTTCATTTCGAATATGTTCCCATTTTTTTTTCTAACAGAAAACCAGTAGATTTAATAGTTTTCATTTGTATTAACTAAAGTTTACTTCAATTTTTTTTTGTGAAAACACTTACCAAATAAATATTTTCATCTCGAAACCTAAAAGAAACTAAATTAGTTTTCTATTGACAATTCATGAAAATTACTAGAAATTTGTAGCTTTTATTACTTTTATAAGCTGAAATATATTATATGGACAAAAATATAAATGTTTGAAACTTTTAGTTAAGGAACAGTATTTGCATTTCATAGATAAGTAAGTTTGCGATTCAATGGTTTCAACTGAAACTTTCTTGGTATAGTTTCTTGTTATTAATACTTGGACATTTGGACTAGAATAGCTGAATTTGTTTGATGCTTTGTCTCTAGATTTGAATGCCAACATTTTGATTGAAAAAATAATCAAAATCTAAAATAAATACATTTGTGTATAAAATAAACAAAAAACATTATTCATAAATGGCTATAATTAAATATTTTTATTTAAAAAAAATACGAAATTTGGATTGAGAAAATTTTTGAAACCATTAATTTGATTAAATTTCCTTAAAATGAAACAACGGTTAAAATTATTAATTAAACGAAATGATGAAATTTCTGTAAATGTAGGTTACATTTTGAGTCAAAGCTCGTGTATTTCCAATGAATAACCAATTAGGATTATTTCAAGAGTTTTAATAAATAAAATAACGTTATTTTAAGAGGAAGAAAATACTGTTTGTAATTGATGCTGATGGCACAGCGAAAAGAATTGGAATAATGAACGCGTCGCTTCGGGCCACAAATATTTAGACCGGCCCCATACATAATATCCAATTCGTATTATGCAATTATGTTTTAATTTCGAGTTTGTCCTCGTTCTAAGCGATTCCATGACAGTGTGTGAGAGAGAAATGAGGAAAAAGATTTACAGTTTTGAATTCTTCTCGAGATCCGCGCATTATACTCGGTGGAAAAAAGATGAAACGAGAATGAGGAGACGGAGAAATGCGCCCGAACGTTATGATGATGATAATAATAATAATAAAAATTGACTTAACGTCTGGACGGCTTTAAAAGCCTCTCCTGAATAAGGCATTGAAATGTGAATGTGAATCAGTCGGGGTACCTTCGAGCTGAATGCTATCACAGTCTAATCGCGAAGTGCACTCTACCTGAAGTCACAGGCGTGGCAAGGCGAATGCATATAAGGATCCGGCGGTTCCGGTTCGACAAAATTTCCAATTCTAAAGGCCCACCCCGCCTGACGAACGCATAAAGGACATATGGAAAGACGAAACATATGATGATGTAAAATGGAGTATTTATTTATGGTATTATTCATCGTTAAAGTCATTCATCATTAGTTTTCGAAGATGTTGATGAAGAGGCTGTTAGAAATTCATTGCATGCAAAAGATGATGGTTTTTAATAGAAGATCTAGAAAATCTTGACGAAGGCAAAGAAAATGAAGTCGAAATTAAGCGATTAATGTTTAAACCGCAAACAATTAACTTTTTTACTCATATTTCAAAATGCGATTTCACCTTATATCCAAGTTTACTTAATACAATCTTTTCATTTTCTGTGGGCCGTCGTTAATCGACGTATGACTGTTCTTGGAAGGGTAAAAAACTGATGATGAGGTTTACTTAAATTGACATCGACTATTAACTATCAAGTATCTCTTATGCAATTTTGTTGATGTAGCAATGTAATTGGAAATCTAATTTTATTCTGTATATGTAGCAAGAAACATGTTTACTGCTCCAAACGACCATCAAACACAATATTTTTTTCTTTTCATTCGTATCATAATAATATTTATTACACTAGGAATAAACAAACAGTAAAGTTTTATATTATCACAACCAAAACGCTATAAACATATAGCATAAAAAGTATATGAACCATCGAAATGTGACAATAAGATTATATAAATAATATAACTGTTTATAAAAAATATTACTTTTGTTTTTGAAGAAACAACCATGAATCAACATTAAATTATAAAACAAGAAATCTTGAAACATACATAATAATTGTAAAATGGATTATCATTGATAAATATACAAAAAGTTTATTTTTTAATATAGTTATGTTTTATGTTATATAATAAAATAAAAAAATGTATAATAAAATAATTTTGTGAACAAATGTTCTATATTGAATGGTTGAAGCCGCAGTGTCCGAGTTAATCGACTTTTTCTGTCTTAAAACCACATTTCAATTCGAAATACTTTTATATATATTTTAAATTCAGACAAAGAAGAATTGATTTCAGACAAAAAAAAATTGTTCCTTTCCGAGAAACCATTCGACCCGTTTTGAAATAGATTGAATATCCGAAAAAAAGAAGCAAAACCATTGTAAGAGTATTAACCTGAATGGATAGTCGATGGTTCTTTGTACTAGAGGATTTGTTGAGGATTTTACGTTATGAATTATTATAGTCTCTTGAACAGCTTTGCAAAGGACAATAATCAATTATTTTATAATTGATTTTTGTATATTATATTTTTAATAATAATAATTTATAGCTCACATAAAAAGTAACCTAAATATAAAGAACAGTATTTAAAAATTCTTAAAAAAATAACATTTCCATATAAATAAATAAACATTCATCAAGAACTAAATACATCTGATTTAAAGGTGTAATATTTTTATTTTATTGAGTACATCAAATTTTGTTCAACAACATATTTTATATATTTTTCTTGCTATATTTGTTAATAAATATTCAATAACATTACAGTATTACCTTGTTAAAATTATTTGAATAACAATGTACGAAATATTTACTGCCATAATGATTTATTATTTTCATATTGATATAATTTGAAAATTCGTTAGTTAATGTTTACATTATTTTTATATTCGGGACATCAAATTTTAGTATTTGTAAGCTGAGCATATTTTGTTATTGAAAATATATCGTACAATATAACTGCAAATCTGCTTCAATAAAATATTTTTGTCTTGTGTTAACATAATAAAACGCTTTGTGTTCTACGTTTGACAGCAGTTTGAGGTCTATAAATACTTGCAATCTGAGCCTTCTGCTAAAGTGCCTTAAATGTATTTATTTTTTGCAAGAAGGATGTGTAATTTGGTGGTCTTATTTCTCGGTCTTTTTCTTTAGTCCAGGTGCGTTTTCTGGAGGGTGCTACTAGCCTCGAGGCACACCTGCCGAGAAGACGTATTTTCGAACATCTGCCCCCTCGCAGAGAGGCCAAAATTAAATCTTTTCAAAAGTTTTCAGTTACGAATATGAGGGAAATATGCGTCTCTCGATATGATTGCGCTCTAAATATAGTTAAAGAATCTTTATTTTTAGCGCATTTCAGTTGCGACTAGAGGAAGACAGAAAGAAAGAAATGTC